CTAAGTCAGGGCATGGCTAACTCACAGATTGAACCCTGAAACAACCTCTGGGCTGATCTAAGTCAGGGCATGGCTAACTCACAGATCAAACCGTGAAACAACTTCTGGCCTGATCTAAGTCAGGGCATGGCTAACTCACAGATTGAACCCTGAAACAACCTCTGGGCTGATCTAAGTCAGGACACGGCTAACTCATAGATTGAACCCTGAAACAACTTCTGGCCTGATCTAAGTCAGGGCATGGCTAACTCACAGATTGAACCCTGAAACAACCTCTGGGCTGATTTAAGTCAGGACACGGCTAACTCATAGATTGAACCCTGAAACAACCTCGGGGCTGATCTAATTCAGGACACGGCTAACTCACAGATCAAACCCTGAAACAACCTCTGGGCTGATCTAAGTTATTAACATTATATTAATATATTAATAGAATTATATTAATATTTACCCTGTCATAAAGCTCATCATCCCCTACGACATCTTCATTCATCAAAGCACTACTTGTTGATGGCAGGCCAGTGTCAAAAAACTGTCGCTCCCTCTCTTCTCGGTTCTTCAATCCTAAATATTCCATTTTGATAAAGGCATTTAGTCTTCTATGCAGCTGCTATTAGTGTCATCACACAAGTCAACACTTACTCCCTTCAGGAGTAAGCATTGTGTAACAACACCAATAGYGGCTGCATAGGAGACTAGGGTGGTAAAGCCAGTGGTAGAACGTTTGCCTTTCCCTGAAGAGCCAGTGGTAAAAAACGTTTGCCTTTCCCTGAACAGATGTGACTCTTACAGGTCATGCTGTGGGTTTGATTCCAGTCTATAGATGCCACTGTAACAATAGAATTTGTTTGAATATGTGACTGTCTTTCTCTCTGGCTTTCTTCTCTTGGTAAAAATCAAATTTTAAGGTTTCATTTAATGAAACATCATGAGAAATAAAAGTAGTGTGATTAGAATATTAAAATATATTACAAGTGAACATCCCATTCTATCACACACTTTCATTCTACTCCAGCTACAATATTTATTACTCTATTCTCGTATTACAACTGCCTCCCTACTACCACCCTCTTCCCCATTATAACTATTACTCTGACTCATTGCTGCTCTTACACAAACCTGTACCTAATTGAAAGTAGTTGCATGAATTTCAACACATGCATGTTTAACTAATACCTATTTGGTTCTTACTGTGTGGACACACTAACCGGGAAGACTTATATAAAACTGACCAATCAGATAACAGTAAACTATACAGGGATTGAACTGATAACTGCATTAGACAATCAGATTATTGTGGTCTTACACTATCATTATATTGATGTGCTATCTGATTGTTCAAATATTAAACAAAATGTCTCATTATTATTCATGGTTATTGAGTAAGAGTTAATTACCAAGAACGGAGGCAATAAGCCATATACATCCTGAGGGCCGCAGGCCCGAGGAATGTATAGGCTTATTGCCGACTTTCGAGGTAATTAAGTATTTTATTTATCAATTGAGAAGGTTTTCTATCAAATGTTGCTCATTATAAATGCGAAAGGTCTATATATAGTTATTAACCGGGTTAATAACTATATATTGACCTCGCATTTATAATGAGGGTTATAACAAAAATAAAGCCTTGTGAATAACAAAGAAAACCGTGTCAATTGAGAAATAATACTACTTAAACTCTTAAAGTGGTCCTGGTTGTACCCTGCAAGCAGAGGTTTTTTTCTGACTCTCCGTGGGCTGGCTGGTCGGAGAGAAAAAATACCTCTCCCCTCAAACGGTCATTTTGTTTGTTGACCAGCCAGCCCACGGAGGGTAAAAAAAAAACCTATGCTCACAGGGTATCCTGGTTGCTGTATCCACACAGTAATTGGTAACTTTGTAAACATCATGTAGTATTGCAATTTTCCTTTGAGTTTGATTGAGAGAGATGAGTCAATATAATGTGGTATTGTCGTCTCAAAGTTATTGCGCTTGATTGGCTCATAGCGTATGATTGACCGCAAAAAATAGCACTTTTTTGGTATTGACGTCTGTTGCAATGGTTCTCTGAAAGAAAGATTCTTCTTCTCTTTTACAACAATAAGGAAAATTACAAGCTATATATCTTGCACTTTCTGCTATAGGTGAGTGACAAATATCAAAGAAAATTTGATTTATTAAAGCTTACAAATTGTTTGAATGACAAAGAAATCATATAATCAATATTTTGTGCTATTGCTGTCTCAAAATTGCAATTAGTTCATAATAGTCATTTATAAAAAATATATAATAGATCAACATTCGATAAACTTACTTTTTAAATAAGAAGATTGACTTTTCCTAAAGTTTGTAGACAAATCTTGAAGACTAACAGCCAATGATGATATAACGTTTTTTAAAATGCGCTGTTCTTGTTTACTTGCTCCTCTACTTTGTTTGCCCATGCGTTGAATTGCACTTTGACACTGATGAAACATCTTTTGTCAACAAATGAAAACCAAATTGAATATCAGTGTAAGAACTAAACCATAGTTATAAATCATATCAAATACATCTTTCTTTTAAAAATATTTGGCCTGTAATATGATGGGAGCGTGAAAGTAGACTGTCCATGGAGTTAATTGTGGGATGTTGACCAACAAACATTGGACAATACAAGTACAATTAAATTCCAAATTGTACTCTGTTGAGTCCCAATTAAGTTGCTCAATTTTGTTGAGTGTATTATAAATGAAAAATCGCCCAATGTTCTCGAACAATTCTGAACTTATAGATACTCATGATGTTTTGAAAGTTCTCAAATTGGTCTCTCCTAAAGGCTTGTCCAATTATGAAAACTTTCAAAATGATACTAGTACCTATAAATTCCAAATTGTACTTGAGATCATGTGATTTTCTATACGAATTATTAATTAATTTTTTTTTTTGCATTTTACATATTTAGTGCACACACACACACACACACACAAATTAAACATGTAAACATGACAGAACAACAGGACACACAAAGTCCTCTATTAAGTTAACCACCAAGATAAATTTGTTATGATAGTCCAAGAAAGAAGTAAAGGGTTGACCCACTCAGAGAGCTCAGCAGTGGTCAAACATGGACACAATACCAGACATTGTCCTGGCTAGGAAGATGTTGAATGTATAGATTGAGACCCTCATTGGTATATTAAATATATACCAATATATTTGCACATAGTCAAGAAAGCCATTCAGATCCGACTTCTGACAACCCCACCTTAATAACATCACTATTCAGTGGATAAATTTATTGCATAACAGCATTGACTGGATAAGGATTTATCCATCGGATAATGCTGTTCACCCTTTGTACAGCCAGGCCCAGATCTAAAGAAATTGAATGCAGAGAAAACACAAAAGAAGCATAGAAACCCAAAGAGTCAAGCTGTTCTAAAATAGCACAAAGTGCACAAATTAACCAAACCTACTGTTTTTATGTGTGTGCAAAAGTGCAAAAATGTATTTAGTGCATACAGATTTAAGGAAGTAAATGAACTGACCATTTTAGCTATTCTCATATTGGATTTTTACCGATCAGCATGCATTTTAGAACTCAGTTATCTCATAAAAATATATTTGCTTATCGCCAACCAGTTGGCTCAGTTGGTTGGGCATCGGAATTTCGTGTGGGAGGTCAACACTAGGGGTCTTAAAATAACTGAGGAGAAAATGCTGCCTTTGTAATTACACCTACAAATGGTTAGACTTTTTTTGAGTGGCCTGGATGAACACTTTAAATGGCACTCTCCACACTTCATCATTACTAACCAATATCAGAGGTATTGACCACCCTCAGTGCCTACTCCTCATACTAACCACCTCTCATGTTTGTAAGTTGCATAAAAAACAATCTGGAATTCATAATTCAATGTAAAACACCTTTGATTATCCATATAGAAAGGGCACTAAATAAATCACAAATCAATATCATTTTTGTAATGACATATTATAAATAAATATAGTGCATTTTGTTTACCTGAGTAATTTCTTTGGTAGTTATTTCGATAGTTTGTTCTTCATCAATACTGTCATCTAGTGTGGGTCTGTTTAGATGTCTATCATGAAGTGTTGATAGGTCCGTCACTTTAAGAAAAAAGTACAATTATATAAAGTTATTAGCAATGCTTAAATAAATCAAAGGTAACCCATGGTAAGCTCATGAAGCTTTTTGAGTACCAATGAACTACAGTAAGATGATAACAAATGACACTTGGTGACTCATTTCATTGAGGGTATGTGACTCGAATATGGCGATAGTCAGAGTTATGTTTTGTGCAAACAAACTGTTGTCTTTATCAATTAAATCATTGCCTTCTGGTTGGCTACAATCCTTTCTTTTCCGTTTCTGGTTACGAAATTTTTTAAAATCATATGTAGAGTATAGATTTTAATAGTACATATTTTATTAAGTGTTTTTATATASTATTAATAGTCTCGACCTCTACACCATGCACCATGTTCATTTGTCCATTCATCCTTGCCAATCTGATAGTATTCTCTTTTTATTACTATCATTTTGAAAGGGTACACTTTGTTGTGACACCCTCACCAACACTTTCATATTATTATTATTATTCATCATTTCATTTTGTTTTTGCGCACCTAGTATCATATATTAATATTATCATTTGTAGCTGTTTTATTTTTGGTGAAAGCTTATAAATAAATAAATAAGTAATGATAAATATGACAATCTCATATCTCAAGGTCCAATAAAAAGARCAYARAGTAAACTAAGAATACTCAAAATATGCTGCTGATTACATGTGATTATGAAGTGATCAAAAATCCCAAATGGCTTCCTCTGCAAACAACAGGCGTGGATTCTTCCAGTGACGTCACTTGGCGAATACAATGGATTCCATGGTTACGGGAATTACCCAAAACGATTGGCTGAGAAGCGTTATCCGAAAAATGCGAAATCTAGCCACTCCAATAGCTCTTCACGAGCTAAAAAAACCCCAGCTTTTTCCATGCTTTGTTTAATAATACAGGATGCATGAAGTGACAAAAATATGAAAAAACTGTAAAAAGAAGCACAAGCCATAGGGTGAGTACTGTACTTCTCACAGTTCATGCAAATTGCTAAAGTGCTTCTTAAGTACAGTAATACTGAGCAGAGCATAGAAAAGCTATTTTATTTGTTTTATTGTGTTAAGAGAAAATAAAATCTGTTGATGTGGTTTTCAATGCTGTTTTCTTAAACGTCTTTGCAAATTAAGCAGGCTTTGTGTGCAGATAGTGATGCTCCACTCACTAAATTAAACACAGTAGTACTGTTCTTGACCACTCAGAGCTTGAATACTATCTATGCTGTATAATGACTGTACATCAAAGTTTCTGAGTCTGACAGCTAGTAAGTGTTCTTGTCTACTTACTTCTTTGCTTGATCCTGGTTATATCATACTGTATCTACAACATTGAATAACACCATAAACTTTGTTAGCATTCCAGTGCAACTTTGCGTATTGCACCATAACTAGAAGTTCTTGTGAATTTGTTGGAATGAAGTAATAAAAAATCTACAAACCTCCTCTACGAAATCAATCCTAAAATAAAAAGGTAAAAATGGTTGAATTAATATTAATTATGTAAAAACATTTTATAAACATACTGTATGCATGTTACATGTATTATGAAGTTTTTTTGAGATGCAAAATACCATCCAAAATTTACCCATGTCCATGTTTTGATTCAAATGCTTTTCCAAAAACAAGCCTCTCCCCCCTTAAAATAAGCCCACCTAAGCATGATATGTAGTTGGTAGTCACTGGTAGCAAAAATTCTACTGCTCAACTTCAAGGCATTGATTTGATTCATTGATACAATTGATTTGCATTAAATATATTGACAGAACTGAAATTTAAAGTGATCATGTAAGCTGGAAAGAAAGATGGCAGGAGGAACTCAATTCAACTAGCTCCCCGTTGTCTTTATCCAGGCCATACCTTTTAATTTTCACAAAACCTAACATTAGAATCTTGACAAGATCATAGTTAGATCTACAAACAGCAAGCTATTACTAAGATCACGTACCATTGGGGGGGCAATGTGTTTATAGGTACTTGGTGACCTATTTCAGGATCAACTCTTTGTACAAGTGCCACTGTATCATCATCCTGCGAAGGACGAGCATATAACTACAAAGCATTAGGTTTAAACATGAAAATAATGTTTGTTAACACCGACAAGGAGTTCAAATATACCCTGATATTAGCGGTACATACGCCAGAATCTCCCAATGAATACGCCTTAAACCGACTGATCTCCGTACGAAGGTTAAAGTAGACATCACTTAAACTCCTGGTCGCCATCGTAGAGGAATTCACAATATATATCGACAATTAAAACTAAGTTAAAACTTAGAACAAATGACATTCCTCCTCGCATCCGCCATTTTGAGACGTAGGCAGCGCTAATGACGAGGGGAGGTTGGACACCATTTCCGTTTGCCCAGACCCCGGAAGTAAGTAGGTCTGTGACCGTGCCCTTATAATGATAGTAATAAATGTAATAAATGCAATAAAAGTAAAAATGAAAATATAATCCTTATAAATATCGAAGCAATGTGTAAATTAAATTCGTTTATTTTAATAGTTATACTAYATTAAAGTTGGGCTCCAAATATCCTCCCATATCACGTGTTATGTAAGCTTAGATACTTACAAGGTTCCAAAAATCGTCATCTTTGCGAAACTTGTTTCCCCTAAAAAAGGAAAAAGTGTCAAAATGGCTTCTCCTAGTGACTTTAACTTCTTCATTATCTTGGTGATCTCTTTCTTTTGCCCTAGGCTGTGTTCCAATAGTAGAAAATCCCATAGTTATGTTTGAAGTCCTTATGACTGTTGAAGGTTATGAGAGAGGCAAAGAGAGGCATTAAAACAGTTAAATATATGTCGGATTGTCTGATCTTCAAACAAACGTAACAAACTAGTAATAGCTCGGTCATTTGAAAGAGGCTTTTAGGATTTCCTAACCAGCCAAATTGCAGGTTGTTTTGTCCGTGCGCATGCTCATTTCGATGATTCGCTGGCTACCTGTAATAAAGCAAACTTCCTCGTATCCTGATAGCCCTCGCGTTGCCAATTTTCACGGATTTTTATGTTTATTTGTTTATTTTATTTATTATTTTTCAAACCACACAAAGTTGAAATTACGTATAACTCAGTTTTATCGTCGTAATCTCGCTTAGAACCAAAAATAAGCCAGTTTTGGCTTTGATTAATAGTGTAGAAAATCGCACAACCTCGAGTTCATGTGTAATCAATAAGTTCGAGTAATGTTTTGAAAGTTATTGTAATTGCACGCTTTATAATTAGTAGCCTGCGTTGTGGCTCCTGCTCTATTCTCGTACCCAGAGCCTCCTCATATCGAAAATCGGAGGCTCTGGTGAAACCCTGAAATTCTCTCGAATTTCATTGGCTGTTGAAAACAACATAACAACGATGGTCTCTCGTTCTCTCTGCATTACATCATTGATTGCTATTAGAACAAAATCATACGACACGCCACAGCTATTTCAGCGAGTACTCAGTTCAGCCTATTCAAAATCCAGGCGGCCGTAAGAAATAAAATAGCATTTTCACTTGCTTTCTCATTCCAAACACGATCCGCAATCCATGTGGGAAGGTTGAAGATGTCAGATCTTTGATTCCCAACACTGACAGAAGACTTTGCAGTCAGCTAGGTAAGAACRAGACCAGAGTAAACTTTACTTCGCCAACTCCAGAGCGGCTAGAGAGTCTTGAAAGCAGAATGGGATGAACTAGCAACACATTTATCATCATCAATAGTGGGAAGAATGTCGTTTTGTACTCTAAAGAGGGCACATTCAGTGCCATGTCGCTCCTTATGCACACTGAAAAGGTTCTGTTAAGTCGTTGTCGTTTAAATAGACATTCAGTTGGGAAGTCACCACTTTTCCGCAAAGCATTTCGAAACAAAGGGAAGATTTAATATTGGCGTTGTCACGAAGGGGAAGTGGGGGAGTGATACTTTCCCAACGGACACAAAGATTCGTGTTGTTCTTCAGTTGCTTTCTTTTGCTTTATTTTCTGTTGCTTGTAGTACTTTACAATGAACTCAGCTAGATAGTCTCTGTTCTGCTTCTAGCTCGGCTTTCAACTTGCTCTTGCTCTTCAACTGAACTATCAACTCTAAGTGAGCTCGTATTTAAGGGCTAAGCTCATGCAATACGCCACATAACTGGTTTGTACTAGTTCAAACTAGATTAGACCAGTTAGGTCAAGTATGACGGTGACATCCTAGTAAGTTGTCTAACTCCAATGAAAAGTCTTTAAGTTGCACCTAATCACTTATTTGAAGTCATATACCTATAATTGTAGACAAAATTTCAAACACGTCTGCGAAAAAAGAAATCGATTTAGACAAATCCCTGACTTTTAATTGCATCCTAAAATCTGTAATCGTTTGTCCCACGGACGTCGTTTCATTCCAAGAGACTGGGACCGAGAGTGACGTTCACCCGGCTATACGCTCTTCAAGGCTACGTGTGTTGTTACAGCAGTAAACAACACACCGATTCAGCATTACATAAACGAAAATTCGTCAGAAACTCAAAAAATCTCCCATTTCTTTACATAGATGCCGCGGTGGTATTCCTGGATAGACGTCATCACTGCTCGTCCCAGTTATTGTCCATGGCCCTCCACAGGGCCCTCCATAATGTCCATTTATGTTTGACTTTTGTTAAAAACTGAGAACTATTTCGAAGCCTTGTCAAAGAAAACCACCAAATTATTAGGAATACGTTTTAATGAGTCTATGACATGGGACATGGCTATGAATGATACTGGGCTATGAATGCCCGGAAGGGTGTCCCAAAGGTTCGTTTCTCTCGTTTAGGGCGATGTAATTCAGCACATTTTGGCTCGATGAATAAATCTATGTATCAAAAGTAGTCTTCGAAATTCTCATTTCGTTTTCCAATCGTTTGACTCGATAAGTCAGTTGTCCCTGATGTTGAATAAACTCAGCTACGTAGCAAGCCCAAGCAAATATAGTTCTATTTTTGAAATGGGTGAATTTACCTAGGTAGCTGATTCTTTAGCACGTAGCACACTGCCATTGTAGAAAACATTATATTCCTATAAAAATTCATAACACCCTGTAGTCTGTTACAGAAAAGGAGTTTATTAAATGTTAATTAATTTATAAAATGGATTCAATAGTTCGTGTTGCCCATGTTTGCTCAAGCTATCCAAACATGAATGACGTCACTGGACCGAATAGCCGTTTTTCGGTATTTCCACTAGCCTATCGCAGAGGAGGGTGATCAAGTGGCACGTGACCTAATCGACCAATCACAATCATGATCACATGCAACAAAAAATATCACGAGAATTTTATAGTCGTCGTAAAGAATCATTACTTTCCCCTCATATTACTTATCATAACCTCATATTTTTTAATTGCCGCATGGATTAATGGCAGTACAGTGGAACCCCGTTAATAAGGACACCGTTGGGACGGACAAAACTGTCCTTATTAACGGGGTGTCCCTATTAACCGAGGTGTCAGAAAAACAGCTGAAAACACATTTTTAACCATTTATTTTTACTATACTGTAAAGCTTGAACTACAGTGTTCAATATAACAGCCTAAACTAGAACAAAAAGTGCATTACTGTACAAGAACTACATTTGCATTTACTGCACTGTATTGTACAATTTCATTTTGAGTTGAGTTCTGGAAAATAACAATGCAATGGTAATATTGCGAGCTTTGTCTATTTCATTATGCTGTAATAGGAAACTCTACTGCAATGATCAGTGTGTGGTCCTCCGATACGCAGAAACTGACAATATAATCCGTATTCAGCTCATTATATCAATAAACAAATACATTAAAGACGTTGATTTTGTATGGAAACTGTCATTCAGGTCCTAGAAATGTGTCCTTTGTACTTATTAACGGGTGTCCTTATAAAGCGGGTTAATTTAACAGAAAATGTATGGAGCTTTCGTTGGGACTTTGAAACCTGTCCTTAATAGCGAGATGTCCTTATTAAGCGGGTGTCCTTAGAGCGGGGTTCCACTGTAATTCCTGTACACCAAGTCTCGTTTCCAGATAAGACATATTTCTATGTAAATKTATAACATTACGATGGCCATCGCTTTCACACGCTGACACTGAAGGTTGAAATATCGTGTATTTTTATCGCTTGTCATCTGGATTTACGATGGATAACATGTCTGTATTTATAGATATTCTGAAGCTTTAATTCTTAATGATCAAAAATATCGAGATGAACCCCGGTGAACCTCTTACCGTTTCCGAGTTATTCTGAATGTTGTGCACTGTACTATGTCACCTATCAAGCATATCTTGTCAAGATGGCGGGAAATACCCGCGTAACGCTACTATCCTCATTCACATGAAAACAGCACCACTAAATCGTTTCAGATAAGACATATGAAATCGTAATTTTGTTATCATTTTATTTTATTGATTTTTTATTGATTTAATTGGAAAATTTATTGCAGAATACTGAGAAATTGTCAGAATCTGAGACTTTTCATCGACCCTCAAGTCAGCCGTTGTTTACCCTGGGTGCCAGAGGCCGTGTGGGGCTTGGGGGCGAGCACCCAGGGTAGCCGTTGTTCAAATGCGTTACAGTTTCGGTGCTGTTACTTTCTTCATTTTCGTTCACAGCATCTGTCTCAAAATGTTGAGGGAATGTTGCTCTTTCTGGAAATTTAGAACAATTGCAGTTACAATTTCTAATGTCCAACCAAGACAATTCAGCGTGTGATCAGTCAGTGGCCGTAAAGCAGCCAGTCTGATCTTCAATATCAAAGTCCCAAATAATCAAAACTTTCCTGTTTGAGTCAGTGGGAATATAAGGGAAAAAATACTGTCATGTCCTCGGAATATTATAATAGAAACTAAACTATTAAATTTACAATGCAAAGCTTATCAGTTTATCATTCGACTTTAGACTTCAATATTGACCCCAAACAACAAGAACACTTTATAATCATTCCAAACAAAAAAGTTTCAATGAAAAGAACCTCAGCTTGACAAGAAATAAATAAAAATGAATGTTGGTAATGAAATGAATGGTTTTAAGAGATACTTTTGAAGAGAAAAATTGATTCAAGGTTTGTCATCTTAGTCCAGTCGCCGGGTATGTGATTTCATCGGTTGTTTGGATGCTCGATGTTCTAAGACTCAATCAATCGCGTTGGAATAAAATTATCAAATTTAATATCCACTACTTAGCAATATTTTGCAGCAAGTAACGGCCCTTTCTCRTTTGGTTCTCGGATTTTTTGGCAGTCACGAAACAAAACAATCCTTCGCTCGCGAGGGCTGTAAGTGAATGGCCCCCAACTAGTTTTATTGACATAAATGGCAGAGACTTCACTGTACAAGTA